CTCTCATGTTCTCTCACTACACCCCTCCCCCGTTCACAAGAGACAAACAGAGTCAGTCACACGTGTAACAAACCAAACCCAACACAATCCAACGACAGATGCAATCGCTCGCCTCCTACCACACACTCACACACACACAGGAAGGAAGTGTCAAAGGCAAGATGCGCACGCGCAAACCACCTGTTCTCTCATTGTTCGTCGGCTCTTACGTGGGCGTGAACACCTAGAAATAATGAGTTTGGGACGAACAGACGCGCAACGACTAAGCCACGGCCATTTGGGACTGGGAAAGAATTTCAAAAAGGCCAAACAAAACAGCACAACAGGAACATGGAATCAGATCAGTACAAAAGAAGGACATAACAATGGATTCCTCTAATTATCAATACCAGTCGAGAAATAAGATTAAAGAGGCACGACACGGTTCCGTTTTATTACTAACCGAGAGAGAGAGAGAGAGAGAGAGAGAGAGAGAGAGAGAGAGAGAGAGAGAGAGAGAGAGAGAGAGAGGGTAGCATTCCAAAAATAGTTTTGGAGAGGTTATGATTAAGGAGGGGCTGCTTAACTTAACGGGGAAGGATTGCGTTTTTGATTTAGTTAAGATTGCAGATTTATTCCTTTTCACCCTAGTTTTCCTTTCAACGCAAAGACATGAAGTGCATACAATGACACAGAATACTGCAAGAATTCTTTTACGTATGACAATTTCGGTCGGACACCCACTCAGCCAATGCGTTTACAACAGGGTACATTTATAGCAACCTGCAGTCAGGAGTACACTGTACGGGTTGTCTCTTTGAAAGAGGTAGTAAATCTGGGAGAACTGTCAACATACCCCTTTGTACCAGGACTTGCTAGCAGCAAGAAGCAAGATAAAACCAAGGGAAAGAAATCTTGGTGCGGAATATTACAACAAGTAAGTTTGCGGTGTGCCCCAGGGGGGTTATAAATAAAGTAAGTATAAGGTCTCTTTATAATGTGCCCACATTCTGAAGCTGGGATGTCAAAGTCACAGCTCATGCGCCGATTGTGTCCAGCAATACCATATTTTATAGCTGCTACTTGACACCATTACTATGCATTTGTGCAGCCCGCGCATTTTTCACACCGTTTTGCTGAGGTAATGTCTTGGATTATTATATTATTATTCATCTCTTATGGGCTACAACAGCTCAAGTTAGTGACAGTTTCCGCAGGTGTTGTTGATAAGTTTTAAACTTGGTTTCAATGTTGCGGGCCTACTTTTGAGAAAAAGACCCAAAACAATCAACAAAACAGAAAAAAATAAACAATTACAACAAAAACTGCTACAATTTTTTTTAAAGTGTGGAATGCTTGATACAGCCCAGGCTCACCTAAACACTACCTCCACCCCACTCCACCCCACTCCACCCCTACCCCACCCCTGGTGATTCGAGTTTGAGACCTCTATTCTAAAGAAAAGATATTTCTGTTTGTAAAAAAAAAGAAAATCACATTACAAGATTCCCCGTTGCTTGATTTGTAATTTAGATCCAACTAAGGGTTAAAGGTTTTCTTTATGTGAAGGAAGACAGGGTAACCTAAAGGTCGGGATCATCATCCTCAACTGCAAAACCGTTGACCATATTTTGGACCACTAACATTGCGTTCTAGCACTTGTTTGCCTGGGGAGTTTTCTTTAAAAAAAGTTTTAATAGAGGTTTTACGGCGCTCGCAACTGCATAAGGTCATATGAGCGCCAGAAGATTAGAGAGTAACAAACATAAAAAAGGAGAAGGGGATATAAGGACGATAGATGTTTGATAGGAAAGAAAGAGCAAACCACACCAGAGCACCCGCCAACCACCCACAGGGGAGTTTTCGTGACCCGCCACCCTTACAAAAATAACACACACACACACACACAC